TGTGATGTTGGTAGGGCAAGGGGTGGTGCCAGTGGGCTTGGGGGTGATGTTGGTAGGGCAAGGGGTGGTGCCAGTGGGCTTGGGGGTGATGTTGGTAGGGCAAGGGGTGGTGCCAGTGGGCTTGGGGGTGACGTTAGTAGGGCAAGGAGTCGTGCCAGTAGGCTTGGGGGTGACGTTAGTAGGGCATGGTGTCGTTGCGGGGGTGCCAGTGGGCTTGGGGGTGACGTTAGTAGGGCAAGGGGTAGTGCCAGTAGGCTTAGGGGTGACGTGAGTAGGGCAAGGAGTGGTGGCAGGCGATGTGGTTGTGGTAGGAGTGGCCACAGTTGTGGTTGGGAGGATGGTGGTGGGTTGCTTGGTGGGGGTGTCGTTGAGTTTGCCATCACGCAAGATAGTGCCGACGTTGATACGACCGTACCCGAAGCGGTTGTTGGGCCACGCCTTGTCTGAGACACCGCCGCAGTTGGGAGATCCAGGGGCAATCACAGACCCGTCAGGACGAGTCCACTGGGCTGGTTCAGGTTCCAAGATGTCGCGATCGGCAGTCTTGGTGATGTACGCGTAGATTTCATCGTAGGTCAAGTCAGATTGAGCGCTTTTGAGCAAGGCGACGACACCGGCGACGTGGGGGCCAGACATGGATGTACCCGCCATGCGAACGTAGCCAGTCAAGTTCTTGGCGTTGGCAGACAAGGTGAAGAACCCAGGGGCCGAGATGTCAGGCTTGATGATGGTGGTGAGCGTGCCGTTGGCAGCCTTCGAAACCACAGGGCCTTTGGAGCTGAAGAACGCCAACTTGTTGCGCTCGTCCGTGTACGAGCCGATAGCGCCGACCGAGATGACGCGCTGGTAGCCGCCGGGGAACCCCGTGGACTTGCACACGGGACCCGAGTTGCCGTTGGAGAAGATGGGCGTGATGCCCACGGCGCGCCACGCCGTGATGGACGCCTCGTAAAAGTCGTCGTAATCGCCTTGGCCTCCCCACGAGTTGTTGATCACGTCGGCGCCGAGCTTGCATTCAGGGTGCGTGCCATCCAGCCGAGTAGGGCACACCATGAACTCGGCGCATTTGGCCAAGGACACGTCATCCCCCGAGTTGACATACAGCCCCATGCACGAGATCCACTGGGCGTCGGGGGCGACACCGATGCCGTACTTGCCCACAATCGTACCGATCGTGTGGGTGCCGTGCTGGGCCGAATCGATGGGGAGGGGGTGGGCGGTGCCGTTGTACGGGTTGAACCAGCCCTTGTTGGAGCGCCAGTTGTCTTTGAGTGCAATGTGCGAGTACGCAGCGCCCGTGTCGATCGAGCCCACGACTACGCCCTTGCCGGTAAAGTACTTCCAAATGGAGGGGGCGCCGACAGTGTCCACGCCCCACTGGGGGGTGTCTTCGTTGGCCGAAAGGGTGGTGGAGGCGGCGTCGGTAAGCGGCTCGTCCAAGGTCGTGGTGAACCGTCCCGTGATCTTGCGCACGTTGGGGTTCTTCGATAGCTTTTCAATGTCTTCCTTGGTGAGACCAGTGAGGAACGAAGCGCCGATAAGCCACGACGTGTGCACGACCTTTCTCTCGACGTTGTCCAGCACACTCTTGAGGGTGGACTCGATGGTCACGACGTCGTTGTTTAACGCGTTAAACAACGTTTGCTTGCGGTTCTCGCCTTCCGTAAACGCTAGTGTGTTGACATTCACACCGTAGAAGTACGCAATCGCGTCCACAACGGGCTTGGCTTCCAACTCGCGACGGACACTCACAGACACTTTGGCCTGCACGACGGCAGCCATAAACGACAACGCTACAGCTACTTTCATCTTGGAAGGTGAAAGTAATTTCTAAAATGCCAGTTCTCGGTGGCTCGTAGGTCACCGGCGCAACCTGGTCAGACAAAGGGCATCTATCTCAATACAAACCCCAAGACGACCCTTTGCGACCAGGCCAGTGTTGCAACTCACAGCCATCTGGGTGATGCTGGTCCCCTCTATTTATCGTACATCGTACGTCGTCGTTGTACGGTTGTATACAAATATGTAGTAAACTACATTTTATGGCAGTACATTCTCGGTGCAAAATGAAGTAATCTGAGTTCAACGGAGAGGTGACTGTCGAGTGTCCAAAACGGCAACCACCTGGCAATTGTATGGGAGCTACATTGATTGAGCACATGTTTTGATGAGGGGGTGATCCAGAGAAAACGTGGGAGGTGCTGGTTACACGGGCTGAATACTACTAGTACAATGTAATACCGTGCTATAAATTGAAAGTTCTGTCAATGGGAACATTTTAGGTAGGCCAAGCAGGGCCATCAATATCTACCTGTCGTACAGGCACGAGGACTTCGTTTAAAATCCTGTCGACTAAGTGTTGTTTGTACATCGATACGATTCGGCTGGATTGGCATGGTTGGGGGTTCCCCTTCTGCAGTTATGCAGCATCTACGAATTGCGATTGTGTCTTTGGAGTTTTCGTGACCTGAAGTTTGGTTAACTTAACTATATCGGGCTACTACTATACACTTACATAGCTGCAACACCACAGATTCATGCACAGTACCATGTCGACCATCGACACCTCAAAGCGACAGTCCGTAGAGCGCATTGGTACTGACTGGTACGAAAACCATTCGTATATTGGTACGCTGCTGCAAATCCCAGAGTAAGGCGTATTCCATACAATAGGTAGAGGGGATAACCCCCTGCTGACTATGGTCGGCCAATGTACATGTACAAGGGCGATTTCAAGTGCGAAAACAGTTTGGGGAGAGAGCAATTACAATAGTCAGGCCACAACATGTGAGTAGTGTACTGATGGCGGCATGTGTTGATTATTCGAAGTGTGCCTCCGAAGTTCGAGTGGTCAGCTCGATGTCGCTACTGCTCGACTTGTTCAACAAAAATACATCACGTCCCTGCATCGTCTCTTTCAGCTTAGGGATGTGCCAGCAATTCAGTACCTCGCCGGTCAAGAATACATGGCTCCACAAGCCCAAACAGTTTGGTGCAATCCGAAGTTCGAAGTTCCCATCCTCACCGTAAAAACTGCCATTGCCGTGCTCAGATCCCTCATCTAATCGAAGCAGCGTGTGCAACGTGGTGTACCACTCCAAGCGATTTGACTACCCGGTACTGGCAAACCAAATTTGGCCGACAACCACCCAATGGTTGGTTGGGAGGACGCCATGGAGTAGATATAGGGGGGACAGGTCTCCTGTATCCACCTCAAGAAATCGTGGAGTGGTGCCAACTGCACATCGAAACAATGACATATTTACGCTTTGTGGGCCATGATTTCAAATTGTGATTCCATCGCAAACTATCAGGCGAATCATACCCCCAGTGGGTTGGGCGTCACCTGATCCGAAGTTGGTAATGATGTATCAAGTCGACTGTGTCCCGCATTTGAAAACTGTCCTAATAGTACTCGATGGAACGACGATCTCATATTCCTTTAATCTAACGTTACTTGAAGTGTACTAGGTTATTGAATACTAGTACTAGATAGTTGAATACTATTAATAGTACGACCTACACCCACACATGGAGCTGTTCCTTCTCCTTTCGAGCGTCACACCAGGGTGTGAAAAATGTAAGGTGATGGGTGTAGGTGGGGAGCTAGCTGCCTATAAAGGGGTTTCTTGGCATTGGTCACAGCGGAATGGATTGAATATCTACATACCCGACTTGTCCAGTCCTTGATAACAGGCAAGAGGTGGACATGTCTGGGTATTTCTAAAGTCCAACCCCCCCTTTTCCGAGTCAACGATGGGGGGGGTAAATTAGTCAAGTGGGATTTTGAAATACACGTACATCCGAGTTGGCTTTTGCACAGTTTGTTGTGTACCAGCGATGAATCATTGGTGTCCGCCCAGCCTGGGGGGTTCAAAATATCCCTGCTTCGAACGTAGAACTGTGTGGCAACAAGGTACCTTCACCTGGTACGCACTCAATTTCTAAGGGGGCAGCGTGCTTATGCTACTACCCCCTGCCCCCAATACCTTGCTTACGCTACTGGATGCTTATGTGTTTAAAGTGCTTTTAGATACTGTATAACAATGACTTTCCTCGGCCTAACCATGCTAACAACGTTCACTTCGCTCGTTGACGTGGGGAAGTGTACTGCTAGAGCTGGGGGGGGCTGATTAGCAGGGAGGTAGTTTATGGAAGCCAGTCTTTTGGAAGGGGGACGACAATTGCACTTACGCGCCACATCCCAGCCAAGTCACATTGTAACTTGGCTGGGAGGTACATCGGTTGAGATGACGTTGGCGACGTCAGTGGCAAAGTATCGCATGTAGTTGTGTGGCAGTATTCCGTCGTGCTGAGATCGCATGCCACTACTTGTTGTGTGTGTGTAGCATCGTGCACGCGTATTCTGGTGTATATGAATATACCTGTCTCGTCGAACTGTGCCAAGAAATACGCTGCTCGCAACTCGTCTGAATCCATGAGGATTTCTATCCTCCTTCGCTCGTGATCTTTTGAGCCGTCCGTGTGCTTGACGGGCAGACTTCTTGATCGCGGCACCTCCACCCAATGCCCCTTGTGACTCATCCTTTGATGTCCCTCCGTCACACGATCAAGGGCGACGTTAGTTATTCTACAAACGATGTGATCATTCGCGTGTGGAGAGCATACAGCTGCCAAGTCCACAACCCCCAAACAGGCAAGTCATACTGTACCATTGCGAAGATGGCAGGGGGCTGGTTCAAAGCTAAGGGGACATGCCGAATCGACAACAATTCAGTCGTTGGCCATTCCTTCAGGTACTAACTATATTCCCAGAAATCCCCGTCAAACACCTCGTACTACGATGGTATCAACCAACTTACACCGCTGTGTGTCTTCAATGGCGATACACTGCTATTGCTTGTTGTCCTCTTGCATACGTCACTCACTTGTTTAAACGGATAGATATGGGTATTTCCTTGGGCGAAGTGGCCAAAATCATCGGGCATGTGTCCAATTTTAGTGCAACAAGGGGTAGAAGAAACCTCGATTGGGTGCTTGCCCCCATATCCCCCCCAAAACTCTCGTCTTCTTTATCGCTCTCTACATTATACATGGCTGCCATACCAACCGTTTATTGCAGCCGCCCATATATGTATGTGTTCGTTCACGTCGATTCACTATCGAGAACACTGTGAATTCCACGTTTTACAGCTATTATAAATGGTGTGATGCAATGTCGAGTGTATTGATTACAGCTTGACCCCTTCAAAGCCCCACACTTCCACCGCCCAGCAATGAAACTGGTGCGGGTGGGTGAGCGCAGGGCTGTCGAAAGTGTCGCACGGCTGCGTGAACCCCCTCGCTTCGTCCAACTGGAGGCACAGTGCCAGTCCCGTGGGCCCCCCTCCCCAAATGATTGAGCCACTGGGCCCCCCATACACGAAATTGCTATCCAAGCCGCTCCACCCGTACACGGACTTGTGCTGAAACACAAACGCCCTCCCGTTGCCATACACTTTTTTCGAGTGCTTCAACGACGACGGAGTAAACGCTACTCGAAATAAAGTTGTTAAAATCTCCAATATATTAACAACTACCACCACGACGACGACAATAATATACTTGAATCTTTCGTAATAGTATGCATATCACTGTTGCAAAAATAAATAAATAATACTCTTGAATCATGTAGTATATATATATATATATCAGACAATCAGACAACTCCCCATTCCTTTACTATACAGTACCTATGCAACAACCACCATGAAAATTCATAAAGCAATATACATGTTGGCTGGTACTACACGAAAACATAATACATACAAGTGAATATATAATATCATCGTACATATATATGTATGATCCAGTGAACCGATTGTAAGCAGCCACAGCCACATTAAAGTGTACGGAAACATGTAGGATGTATGTACAGTACACTACCTCCAAACACTTGATCTGTAGAGTCCTTGATAGCCACGACGGTCGGGCCGCGGTCGTGCACTCGGTGGTACAGCACACTCGAGTTGAATCCGTGCTCTTGGGTCGTAAAGAGCAGCTTCCAGTGGTGGCACTGCAAGTGCGGGGGCAGCGCCGCCGTCAGTATGCGCACGTGGTTACGCTTAAGGACCACCGACGCCTCAAAGTACGCCAGCCACTTGTTCTGCTTGAGCTTGGCGTGCGCTGTGTGCCACTCGCCCTTGTCGTTTGCGGCAAGGGGGGACCCTATGACTTTGTGCTTGGCTTTGTACTCTTTGGAGGGAGGAAACATGGCTCGGCTCATGGATGTGGACGATGTCGTGGCGGCGGCGGCGGTGGCACTGGTCGCCGGATGTTGGCGAAGGTACCGCAGATACAGCGCCGGTGTTCGAAACGTCAAAGTCAGGGGCAAAGTCGCGACCTACACAACACACCAGAAAACACTGCTGGTGAGAACTACCATAATTAGCCAGCGTCCTACTAGATTTATTGAACTAGAAGGGCTACTGACTACAGGAGCTACGATGTAGATCATCCTTGTCCTAACTGTACGAGCTAGCTAGCTACAGTAGCTAGGCCTCATCCTACGAGCTCAAGTGTGTTCGAGCTAGCGGCTACAGTACGTTGTAGCCTCGTCAAAATTGTAAGGGCTGCAGTACTTTGTAGTGGCTACGTACAGTAGCTAGTCTATCATATCCAACTAGTCATGTGTGTGGGCTATAATACATGGGCTAGCTAAAGAAAGGCGAGAGCGCACTCACGTACGTACTTGCAAATGTGACGTGAGCTCGTCCAGTGTCCAAGTAGCCGAGTCGGAGTCGCCTTCGACGGCCACAAGCACATCTCCTGGGACCAGAGCATGCCAAGTCGATGGAGTTGACGACTCTGCGGCATCGTTCGTGTGGACTTCGAGGCTGCCGTAGCTCCGAGTACAAGTGGCAAATGTCACTGGTAGTGGCAACGAAGCCACGGTCACTGCGATATCGCCGACAAGATCTCGACCTGTTGCAATGAGGTTCATGAAGGAATCGAACATTCGGGTGTATGTAAGTATATATATATATGCATGCATGTAATGTACCGAGAGGCAGGGCCGCCGCTTCCACGTCTCGCGCTGCCGACTGATCGAGACGTGAGCAACAGGCTGGATCGAGAAAGTGCGTACCTGTTTCCATTGCGCTGCCGTGGCGCGAACGTGTCGCGTGGAGCCGCGCAGGAACTGAGTGTACTCGTCACTTTGCGGGAACAGTGCCGTGGCAGTGGCGTGCGAGTCGCAATGGCCATGTAGCAGAGGTTTTCGGAATGTGATCGAGATCGGCACAGCCAGCTTGCCGATGTACGTGCGGAACGTCAATGCGTCCATTGCATTCACCGATGTGTCTCCATTGACTGCCATAAGCACGTCGCCAACACATAACTCCTCTGCAATGTCGTCGGGGACATGCCCAACTTCCCACGCGCCGTAGAGCTGCGTTGAAGGCACGAGGCCAATCCCGAGGGGTTTCTTCTTAAACGTGAGCGTGACTTCGGAGTGGGCGACCTGCACATGATGCTGCTTGGTCGACGATGCAGGTGCGGTGGGTGCAGTTGGTGTGGACTTGCGCATGTCCTCGGGGAGGTGGATAAGCGCTTGGGAGTTGTAGCTTTTCGCAACAAAAAGATACACCGGTTGAAGTTGCCAAAACCCGAGACATGTGTTCGGGGTCAAAGAACTTGCACTTTGTATGTGGCAATCAAGAAAACGATGCATTGCCAAAACCAGAAGTTGACACTATTTCCAATCCCCTTAAATAGTGTACGTTACTGCCTCCAAAGCTAGTGGATGATGGTGATGGATGCGAAGGTGAATGTCATGATGCGTAGGTGCTTCATCAGACCACCGTACTACCTGTACCAAGGCGACAACAATGATATGAACGATACGAATCCCGAGCATGCATGCACAGCGAAAGATCCGGCGGCGATGACTACTTCAGGGGGCAGACTGGTTTGTTCCCGCAAATCTACTGTATATCATGCGACACCCTCACGACCATCGTGATCTGCGACGTTGCATGAGTCCTTCATCATAAGTTAAGGTACTACATGTACCCAACCATTAGGATAAGCTTCACGCACGCGACATCGTGTAGTCGTACTATGCACCAGCATGGTAGCACTCGTCGTTCGTTGCCTTCATCGCTCACCAAGTTGGAATTTCCAACTCGGCGATTTTTGAATGGCTTTACATTTTCTCATATTGATGGAGCTGATAAAACGTGTGGGATGCCAGTTTTTACGTCCACTTGAAAGGATAGGTTTTATTAAATAACGCCAGGTTTTATCAATCCGAACCACTCTCGTTACAAGTAGTACGGTACCTACAATCGGACAATTCCCACGAATTCCAAGCATATCGTACATCGTACGACATCGGATTTAAACCTAATCAATAGTCATGGCTACGTGACTTCATCGATAACTGCGCTTCCGACTAGAAGTAAGTATGGTATATAGTAACCAGTGTGAGATAGGCCTGCCTGCGTGCGCCAGTACTACTAATACATAGGTAGTATCCATAGCAGGACCGTCAAACGGGTTTAACGTCATGTCGGAAGGACGTTAAAGTTACTGTTCAGTACTTCTCCGTCCCTTCCAATACGAACTTAATCGAAGCATACAATCTTCGAGTTGATTCTCGACAAGTGCTGGCTCTCTATATCGCATTTACCAGGATAGTTTCGACATGACTTGATGTTTGTATGCTATCGTGCCAAGCTTATTACTCACTTCTGCCTGTGGCATGCTCCGACAGCATCATTCCCCCCTTCCATCGCAAGCACATGTCCGTATCCGCTTCGACGTATCTTCGCAGGTTGGAGGAGGACAGCGGGTCCGACACCCTCAACATCGTGCTGGGTACAGCCACGGGGGTGATTGTCCTCGTGATCTTGATCCTGTTCTGCCATTCGAAGCGCAAATCCAAGCAGCGGCGCGAGGCGAGGCGGTTGCGCCGTGAGCGGCAAGGGCATGCCCCGTCTGCCGTTCCGAAAGACAGCGATGTATACATGGAAGCGGACAATCGAACGATCAACTTGCCGATGATGGGCCATCAACAACACAACCAGAACGGTGGAGGAAAACAACGCGACGAACAAGACATCTACATCATGCGCAACAGCGAAGACGTCGACTACCACAATCATGCCAATGGTCAGAAACCTGCCAATGTGGCCGCCCCGTTGCCATTCAAGATGGACCCGACGCTCTTGAAAGCCAAGGTCGACTACTCGGACATTCAATACACGCGCAAGCTGAGCAAGGGGGCATTCGGCGAGGTGTGGCTCGGTCAGTTCCAAGGCAGCTACGTCGCCATCAAGCAGATCCTCGAGGAGCGCAAGACCGACGCCAAGGAGATCGAGTGCTTTGTCGCCGAGATCAAGCTCATGGCGACGTTCCAGCACCCCAACATTGTCGACTTTCTTGGGTTCTCGTGGAACCCCAAGGACGCCAATCTGTGTGCCATGACCGAGTACATGAAGAACGGCGACTTGTTTGGTACGTTCACTCTTCCTTTCTGTTCGACATTTACCTACATTCATGGTTGTCTTTTATAACCTCGTTCTTTTATTTTCTATTGACTGTTCTTGCATGGTTGCAGTGTTCCTGCAAAAACGAAAGGCTACGCTGACGTGGCGCCACGACAAGATCCAAATCGCCATCGACATTGCGCAAGCGCTGGTGTACCTCCATTCCCTCAGCCCCAAGGTCATTCATCGCGACCTCAAGTCCAAGAATGTGCTGCTCGACGACCGATGCACGGCCAAGCTGAGCGACTTTGGCATTTCGCGCCTGCGTCAACTCGAAGAAACCATGACCGCGGGCGTCGGCACGGCGCTGTGGGCCGCCCCCGAGGTGTTTCTCGCGATGAAATACAACGACCGCGCGGACGTGTACTCGCTCGGCGTGGTGCTGTCGGAACTGGACACGTGTGCGATCCCGTATGCTGACCAAGCGATCGGCAAGAACGGCAAGCTCGACGGCATGGCCGTGATCAAGCTCGTGACCCAGCAGAAGGCCAAGCCGACGTTCTCGCCGTCGTGTCCGGAGGAAGTGCGGGCGCTGGCGTTCCGATGCTTGGACTACGAGCCGGACAACCGTCCCTCGGCCGCCGAAGTCGTCGAGATTCTCAAGACCCACGTGCGACCGGCATTAGAACAAGTCTAATACTTTATCCTTCTCTTTTTGTCGCAACGGTCGACGTATGTAACAGATTATTACTATACAGTATGGGTGATGTTCCGTGACACTTTTTTTAAAATCTAGTCGAAATTCGTGTTGATGAAAAATGAATTAATAGAGTGGAAATAAATATCCATAGGCTGTAAAACAGTGCCGAGCCACTTGATTTTATCCAGTTACCTGTCAAAAATTGCATCTGATTGGCTGAATTTCAGAGTGATTGTTTTCGACCAATCATGGTTCGTGACACTCGATACACTCCGAACCCGCTAGATAATTTGTGCATGAAATGCTACTCTCGAGTAACGTTACCCAGCAAGACATTTTTCTCCGCGGACTTGAAGTGCTGATGGGGTATCCAGGCGTACTTAACACACACCCAATAATTTGTGAGATTTTCGCTCGCATTTGCCAATTTTGGGAATGGTTGAAATCACCAAATCACTATTCCAAGAAATCGAACAAAACAGTATGATTGGATAAAAACAATGAAGGCTGAAAGAGTAGGCTGTAACAAATGATAATCACGTACTATTAATATTTATAGTAGTGATATTACTACTATTAATAGTATCTATTACTAGTAGTAAAGATACTATTAATATAATAGTACCCTCTTTAACATTCATTGATACTACTACGTACTACTAGTAGTAGTCCCGTTAGTATATACCGGTACCTCGAATAAGTACTAGTAAGTTAGTACTATTAATAGTATTGTATTTCGTTGGTCAGGCGATTGTTGGGCGGTTCAACCAACCGCTGGAGGAAACAGGACGTTCGGCCAAATTCGACGATGTTTATCGTGTCCGAATTATGCTGGTTTGACGATGTTTATCGTCCCAAATCAAGGTAAAAATGTATGTTTCATGCCATTAACCGGATTATAGGTCGATTGTAAATACCCTAAACAGCCAAGTGGCCATACCTTTCGAATTCAAATTTATAGGTATAAAACTGTTTTATACAAACAAATCAAAATTTGGTCACAAAAACAACCGGAGTATAATTATGGCAAAAAGAAATGGTCGAAGCTAGGCTCGAAACGCGGACTATGTCGTCTGCAACCTGGAATCAAACCAACACACTAATGATGCACCTTGCTCTTCAATGGTATTTAACTGTTATAGTACAAGATTCGTGGCAACCAATTCTTGTACTATAACAGTTAAATACCATTGTAGATGAAAACTGGATTCAAATCGGAGGCACAAACTTTAATTCACACTGGTAGTGGTGATAAATCGACGAACTCGCTGTGCATACGGTCATCATGGTGGCTGCATGGTCAACCTTCGTCCCAATCATCGTATATCCCTATTGACTAAATGCCCCAAAAGTTTGAATTGCCCTATTTCATTTGTATCGTTTCCGTACTCATGGTGAATCTATCCAAGATATTGTGCCAAATCCGTGATTTGACACGATAAACAACGTGATTTTTGCATTATTCGTACACGTTAAACGACGGGGGTTTCGTGCTGACGAGGTGGGAGGAAACTATTCACTGTCAGTAGAACACACAATACAAATACCAAATAAAGTACTCGCGTAGCAGCGGCACGACATACGGACTACATGCCGCTTTTTCCAAAAAGATGAATATATAGGACATTCGGTGACGTGCACGATGGGGGTTATCCCTCGTCAAGGCACAGCCTGCTCAAAATTATACAAGCGACCTCCGCAGCGCTACGGTTTGCCAAATTTTATGGACGGATGCTCTGTGGTTTGCCAAATTTTATGGACGGATGCTCTGTCGTTCTCACTACAAACTAAAAGTCCAATCTAAGAACACTTTTCCGAGACGCTGGCATAGCAGTCACGTAGTACACTCAGCTCTAAGGTCTCGAAACCTCAAATATTACCATATTCTAGCCCTAAACGCCATTTTGGGGGAGAATTCAATATTACCATATTCTAGCCCTAAACGCCATTTTGGGGGAGTATGTGTTAATATTATCGATTGTACTTAGCATTTGACGATTACTACAGTAATCTGATCAATTTCATAACATCCAATCAGCATCGTCCACACGTAGCCTGTTTATGTACGAATCGGACTTACAGGAATTAAAAGAACGTTCCAGAGATTGTACTTCAAGTCCACGGACTCAAAAGAATTACCCGAGAAATATCCATGAAGGGAGACAAGTGATACTTTTCGTCTCTGTCAAATCAGAAATATGACTTTTGAGCCATTTCTGAAATGATACAAAGATCTCACCAACTTGTAACATTAGGGAACGCGATGCATCTACGTTTAGCAGTGTTGGTGATCGAGAGCGCTGAGAGGTCAGCGTAGCTACGTTGCCTCTCCACGTGCGACCAAACATTCACATCTCGTGGATATTTACCCAAGCATATGCAACGAATGGAAGTCCTTGGAGGTGTCCTGTTCTTAGAAAGGGTAACCACGTGTTGAGAATGGTGTGTTGTTGGGTGGTGTCACCGAACCAAACTGTCACAACCATTTTGGCGAAATTTGTGCGTTTAAACGCTTGTGATTGGCTAAAATGTGGATGCAGAGGCGGTCCCGTATGCAAAGGCATCGACATTCACCGGCTCTGGTGCCTCCAACATGGTTTTGTCATTCCCATATATCTCCTTCGCCCCTCATCTATAGTCATGTCCCTGCGGCTCCGGCAGCTACAAGAGGATGACAGCAATGTCGCACTCAACATTGCGCTGTTGTCTGTGATCGGCGTCATCGCGGTCGTGATCGCGTTCCTGTACTGCCGATCCAGGGTCGCGCGACAGAACGGCCGTCGTCGGAAAGGAGGTGGCCACCGCAACTTCATGGACGCGGACCAACGAACAATCCATCTGCCCCTGCACCATCGCCCTGCGCCGTCGCTTGCGTTGCCTCGTGGCGAAAGCGACATCTACATCATGCGCAGCAGCGACGGCGGCACCGAGTACGAACACCCAAGTCGGTCCAAGCAGCAACAGAACGGGTTCCTGCCCTTCAAACTCGACCACATGCTCCTTAAAGCCAAGGTGGACTACGCGGACATCCATTATACTCGCAAACTCAGCAAAGGCGCGTTCGGCGAGGTGTGGCTCGGTCAGTGCCACGGGAATTACGTCGCCATCAAGCAGATTCTCGAGGAGCGCAAGCATGACGCCAAGGAGATCGAGTGCTTCGTGGCCGAGATTAGACTCATGGCGACATTCAAGCACCCGAACATTGTCGACTTTCGAGGGTTCTCATGGAATCCCAAGAACGGCAACATGTGCGCGTTGACCGAGTACATGAAGCACGGCGATTTGTTCGGTACGACCTACATTCTGTCGTTCTTTTCTCAATTTACCTACATTCCTGCATTTCTTTTACTCAACTCGACGGTTTCATATTCTAGTGTACTTGCAGCGAAACAAGGCGGGGTTGGCGTGGAAGCATGAAAAGGTCGGCATCGCCATCGACATTGCGCAAGCGCTGGTGTACCTCCATTCCCTCAGCCCCAAGGTCATTCATCGTGATCTCAAGTCCAAGAACGTGCTGCTCGACGACAACTTTACCGCCAAGCTGAGCGACTTTGGCATTTCGCGCCTGCGTCAACTCGAAGAAACCATGACCGCGGGCGTCGGCACGGCGCTGTGGGCCGCTCCAGAGGTATTTCTCGCGAAAAAGTACAACGACCGCGCGGACGTGTACTCGCTCGGCGTGGTGCTGTCGGAACTGGACACGTGTGCGATCCCGTATGCTGACCAAGCGATCGGCAAGAACGGCAAGCTCGACGGCATGGCCGTGATCAAGCTCGTGACTCAGCAGAAGGCCAAGCCGACGTTCTCGAGGTCGTGTCCGGAGGAAGTGCGGGCGCTGGCGTTCCGATGCTTGGACTACGAGCCGGACAACCGTCCCTCGGCGGCCGAAGTCGTCGAAATTCTCAAAAACCACGTGCGGCCAGCACTTGATAGACCGTCGTTTTGAAATTGACTTATAAAACCTATTTAACCACATTTGACCAGATGGCGATTCCACCTTCTTAATATTTGAAATTCTCAGTTGATTTGGCTAAAAATACAAAATTAATTCTAAATTCTGCAACGGTACCGTCGCACTATGACCCATCAAGCACCGCCGCCGGAACGGCTGAATGCTATAGTACATGTTAAAATATGGGGCTCTTGTGAAGTCGCAGAGCCAAGCACCTCGATAACGATAGACGGAATTTAGCTAGGAATCTGATTGGTTGATACATCAAGTCGGTCGATTTGAAAATGCGACAAAATGTGGCGAATATTATCCAGCACGAAGTGAACCACGCACGATGCGCCAGGTCACTCTCTGTCAAACAGCAGAAGCTGGTTGTTACATATATTGCCCAGATTAGAGTCCCTCGCTTTGTCGTCTTCTTTTTGCAGACTTTGACGCTCACGTGAATGAATCACGCAGTAAATGAAGCGTCCAATCAGAGCAGTATATTTAGCGGTGATCAACCAACCAACAGCTTGTCGTTGTCTTGACCTTTCCTTAGTGTGTTGTTGTACATGTATATTGCGCGACCAATGAAGGCGCGCGAAATTGTACTGCATTTCATCCACAAACATGCATGCAGCACGCAAAACCACACTTCGAAACTGTACATGAATGAATATATTTACCACCCTGACCCTTTTACGCACAGGGTTGTGTATAAAACGCAACATGTTTAAACGCATGGCGCCTGTCTTTTTGGTGCAAAGCACCCCTCCGTGTATATTATTCAACGACCCTTACAAACGCTTGGATATATATTTAAATACAACCAATGTCATCCGTCCCGAGTCAGCATGAATTACAAACGGCAGAGAGGGACGCAAGTCCACTAGCTGACCATTCCTCACGTCTTGGTAGTCGCACCAGACACACAATGGCGGCGGCACCTACACATGCCTACTATCACCGCCTTCGCCGCCTAGATGGAGACAGTGATGCGCTGAACATTGGTCTCGGCATCGCCATCGGGGTCATCGTGCTCCTTGTGGCCGGGTTCTGGCTATACCAGCGGCACAAGAACAAGCGACGACTCGAAGAACGGCATGCTCGTCGTGCTGCCAACCAACGGGGCAACGTACGGCACAGGGACGAAGAGGCGGACCAGCGCACGATCAACTTCAACGGCCGCCAACCTGCCGCCGTGGCCAACCAGCCAGCGCCGAAGCTTCGTCAGCCTCCGCACCACCAACCCTATGGGGACAATTACGTGTTGGAGGACGACGAATACCGCCACGCCAACAACAAAAAGGCCGCGGCGAAGCAAGGTTCGTCCCACACTTTCCAAAATTCCCATGATTTCGTTGCCCGAGCTCACTTTGCATGCTCGTGTAGCGCTGTTCCAGATGGACCAAGAGATGCTCGACGCGAAGCTCGATTTCAACGCGATTCAGTACACCCGCAAGCTGACCAAGGGTGCATTCGGTGAGGTGTGGCTTGGCCAATACCGCGGCAAGTACGTTGTCTGCACCCTGTCACATATTCCTGTGTGACACGATGGGACTACTACTGCATGCACTGACCATGGCGTAGGTATGTCGCGATCAAGCAGATCTTGGAAGAGCGCAAGAACGACACCAAGGAAATCGAGTGCTTTGTCGCAGAGATCAAGCTCATGCTCAACTTGAAGCACCCGAATATTTTGGACTTTTTGGGGTTTTCGTGGAACCCCAAGGACCACAATTTGTGCTTTCTCACAGAATACATGAAAAACGGCGACTTGTTCTACTACCTTCAGAAGCGCAAGACAGTGTTGACGTGGAAGCGCGAGAAGATCCAACTGGCGCTGGACATCGCCCAAGGCCTCGTGTACCTGCACTCGCTCACGCCCAAGATCATCCACCGCGACCTCAAGTCCAAGAATGTCTTGCTTGACGAAAAATTTACGGCCAAGATCAACGATTTTGGCATTTCCCGGTACGTTTTTCGCCGGAAATTGGTGTTTTTTTTTCGTTTTTTATATGGTCGGGTTGTTCAACCAAGGATACTCGTGTTGACGTGTGGATGATGATAGTGTGCGCCAATTCGAAGAAACCATGACCGCGGGCGTCGGCACCGCGTTGTGGGCAGCCCCAGAAGTGTTCATGGCCAAGAAGTACAACGACCGCGCGGACGTGTACTCGCTCGGCGTGGTGCTGTCGGAACTGGACACGTGTGCGATCCCGTTTGCGGACCAAGCGATCGGCAAGAACGGCAAGCTCGACGGCATGGCCGTGATCAAGCTCGTGACCCAGAAGCGGGCGAAACCTACGTTCAGCGAGTCGTGTCCGGCGCCGGTGCTGGAGTTGGCCATGCTATGCTTGGACTACGAGCCAGGGAACCGACCGTCCGCGGCGGACGTGGTGCAGCTCATTCAATCGCAGATCAAGCCAGCGTTGGAAGCATATTAACAAAGTCACCATGTTGCTATGTGTGTATGTTTACTGTACGTTCGCCGAGTGGTTTTATCGTTGCCAGAACATTTTTTAATGGACAAACATCACAAACTACGCTATGTACATACAGTGTATTGAGAATTTCACCCAAATTTGGACTTTATATAGAGTCCATGGGTGATGCTGTAGACAGACAATAATACTGTCAGATCTCGAAAGCTATCTCTGTCTACCTGGTAGACCAGGGAGCCGCCACCCAACCAACACAGTTTTCACGACGATACTGCTAGGCCGAATACGTAATACAGTACACCTCGCTTGAACCAAATGGTCAAGAGTATACTCAAAGCTACTACTCGAACGTACTATTGGTACTATTAATACTCCGGAGTAACGTTAGTTGTACTAACTTACTATTAGGAAGATACCATTCTCCATCAAGTCCACGCTGTACGACAGGCAATGATGGCGACATGAAAAGCTGAGGGGGGGGAATAGCTCACTGTCAAAGCAGGTTGATTAGAATTTTAACCGGATATTATTCCTAACTTAATATTGCCTTCTTGGGGGGAATAGCTCAGGTGGTAGAGCATCGGTTTCTTAACTCAAAGGTCGTGCGTGGGTTCGATCCCCGGCTTCCCCCGGATTATTTCCGCAAGGATTTATCCGTCCCTCCCCTGGGGAATCCGGATAACAAGGGCTGCGTACAAAGACGAGGACCGAACTTCGAAGAAGATCGGTCGAAGCACGAGGTATGAAACGTTGAGCGAAGAAAAAACCGAAGATTACACACCGCCCCTGATCGAGCAGGCGCGTTACAATTGGCGAAGCGGTTCCATAACATGTGGTTCTAGTATCCAAGATAAAACAACGCTAACACAAGTTCTGCATTTCAGCAGAATAAAACAACCCTTACTTTATTTCAGCTGCTAACTAATCGAGTTGCAGCACCAGACCAGGCCAACTTACGCCGTACAACCACCAGTTCATCACGATGCATACCGTATTAGGATGTGAAATGGGAGTACTATACATCGTGTAGTCGTAGTGCGCCCTTGCTTTCCACGTACAGTGCTAAGGTTAGAGCAGATCAAGAGTTGAAGGTATGGCATAGCTTTGAATCATTGGACAGAGCGACGACTACATGTACTATAGCCTAACTATATCCCTAACGTTATATACATTACTCGGAGTAGATAATGTTAGTACTGTAGTGATCACGGATGGGAGGTCATGTATGTGGCCATAGCTCCTTCAGTTTCATTGCGTCAAGCACCTTGACATGTTGACGTAAAGCAAGTTGTTTGCCAGAATGAAAACGGCAAACAACTTGTTTTACTACGAAAGTGCCAGTAAAACCACCTTCAACCAACCAATCATCGCATTAGATGAAGTAACTTTAAACAACGCACCCAACCGTTATTCAAGTTACTTTAGACATTATTTAAGCCTGAGAAATTTTTAAACAATGAATTTAACCCTGCAATTGCCAAAAACGATGCAAAGCACAGTACATACCGGTAACGTAAAGTTCCAATTTAAAAGACATATAATAAATGGAAGCAGCTCGGCACGGGTTTCGACTTCTGAAAACTGATAATTCAACGGGTCTTTCCAACATGCCCTAAAACATTTATTTTCAAAGTATATATTATGTCCTAATGTCCCATTTTCTAAGCAGAAACACCTAGAAACACCTCAAAAGTAGCGGACAATTTAAGAAACTTATTTTAACTTGATCATAGTATTGATTTCTGCATATATTTTGTGTGGTTATGGTATAATATTCTGTCATGTACATATTCAATCTCAACAGTATAGAGCCAATTGGTTAATTGATTTACTTCGAAGTATGTAAAACACATGGGATCAAGAAGAACATTTATTTAAAGAGGTATTTCTACACGAATTTCAAAGTGGGTGATTGGCTGAATCCACATAAAATCCTACTTCGTAAACTCGTAGGAAATAAACTACTTTGAAGTATGCTACTAGTATACTGTAGTAGGACAATTGAAGTGTAATTCCCTGTGAGCAACAGTCTTTCAAAAGAACCAGCAGCGGAACGGACCCTTTGTGTTGCTACTACATTATTCGCCCGGGGGGTTAATCACTGTCTAATACTATTAATAGTAGTACTCCGTATTGTCTGTCGACTGTACGTTGCATCGGGCGTCGGTACCACTGACAGTGAAATGCGCATAACCACCCACCTGGAATGGTGATGTTAGGGTTTACACTGTTTTGGACTATGGTATGATAAGAACAAGGTAAATGTTTGCGTAAGCTTAAGAATATAAAAATGAATTGTAAGACTGGATGATGGAAAACTGTCGACTGTATTGTGACACTGATCAGGATTCACAAACTGTCTCTCCTCTCTACCTGAGATTCACAAGTTGCGGCTCTAGCTTCCTCGCCCTCTGTCGTCATGCTTGCTACTACGTGTTTCGTACTAAGTAGTGTAGTACTTTACTTGTTAACAATCCGCCATGTCAGCATCAACTGTGGCGTACATGCTTGAATCGTATGGATGCAATGCAAAGTTGAACGAAATAATATGAAACGAGTATCCTGATGTTTGTATGCAAAACAAATTAAAATTCTCGATGACCCAACGACACCCAACTACCCTTCCAAGTACTACTCTCTTTACCTATGAATCATCGGCCCAGAACGATCATATCCGGATACCATTGGCCTACTTACAAAACCCAAGTGTGTTGGAACCTTCCGGATAAGGAGAATCATCACGAACTGTCGTCATCAACGGTGATGGTGGGTGAGTGGCAGGGGACAAGTGTGTTGGTCTAGCACTTTTCAATCGACCAACCACCACACACACGGCTCAGCATGGTCGTATATTATGCCAAAAAGCACTCGCTGCTCCAAATGCTCAAGCTGCAGTCGTCCACGTACGTCGCCATGGATGTGCAGACCACATCGCTGGCCTTCCTCAACGACCGCACCGTGTATTCGATGAACCAGATCTTGGACGCGTCCTGGTCCACGCACCGCACTGTGACCCTGCGCCTGACCAGCAACGACGGCCTCATCACCAAGCAGAAGTTCCTGTTCGACTGCCAGGCCGATCTGTTCTTTTTCCTCGTGGAGCTGGGGATGGAGCCGAGTCAGTTTGGCGGCACGGTCCAACGAGGGGCGTTCACCAACCCCATCGGCGGCACGGGCTTTCGCAAGAGCTACTCCAATCGAAGCCACCACCGAAGCCCTCGGAAAAGCAGCTCCAAGAGCGATTATTATTAGAGCCAGCCTCGCCACATTATTTAGTTTATATTTAGTTTTAAGTTATACGCATATATGGCATCCATGTCTTCACATGTCGATATGTTCCCATTATACCATTCGATCCTGAGACGTATACAAGCATACTTGGTCCGCTGCACCAAGTAACTTCATATTGACATCGTTATGGCGCCACCAGCGTTCGTCCCGCAGGTTTCAAACCTCGCTCCAACAACGATACTAGTAAAGTTGTACTAGTAGTAACAGTAGCTAACGCTAGTATTAGTACAACCTAATATACATTTATATACTCAGAATAATACTACTGTATTAATAGTATGTGTTTTGTGCGTTGTTCGTGTGCAGAGGGCCGGTGGGACATTCACATTTCTTACGGCGCAGCTTTGCAAAGGGGAACCCCCCAGACTCAATGTCTGACTAATTGCAAGTGTACACGGGATCAATGCGTGCTCTCGTTTTGTATTCCGGTACTGTAGTGTTTCATACTATGTATTATTCACGTTATTACTATGAATACGTAGTATCATACTTGAAGTATAATACTATAATAGTAATAACGTTAACGTCAATAATATCATGTTTTGATTCAAGTTAGCTTACAACTGTACTATGTACTGCCGAGTAACGTGACTACGTAACTTAGTACTAGTATTTAAAATAAGCTCCCATCAAAAACTGCAGGCCGACTTACACACTGGAGTATTATTTTAATAATACGTACCTGGTACTTATTCGTATACAGTAGTTAGTACTCATGCCAGTGTTGTTTGCAGATGGATGACTAACATATCAGCCAGTGCTACTACTACTTACAGTTAGTACATAGCACTAACTGGTTACGTAGTACTGTAGTGCAATCAGTGACAATAGACCAAGACATGGGCGTTGGTTGTGCAATTGCTTCCACGTTACATCGTGTTATCAATATGCACCAGATTTCCTCGACACACTCGATGCATTAGGAGCGCTTATGCGACCAAGGTGGAGGCCGTGGCGGATTCGTACTTCCAGTTGGGGCTCAACTTGCGGTTTTGGCGGTAGTAACGAGCCAGGCGATGGATGCGGGATTCGATCAAAATCAAGCGGAACTTGGAGTCCTTGTCTTGACGGTTGCGGTCCAAGTGCTTGCGCACGGCGACGGCCTTCTTGATCAACATGTACAAGTCTTCCGGCAATTCAGGAGCCAAACCTATATAGCCAACCCTCGCGTATTCCCACCTCACAACTCGCTCGAGTGTGGGTTAGGCAATACCAAGGACGTGGTAGAGCCGTGGGAATGCAGCGACGGGCCTAGTTCAGGGTCGTCGTTCGTGAGGGAGTGTCCTACGTACCGTTCTTCTTCAAGATGCGCAACACCTTGGAGCCGGTCACGGACTTGACTTGGGCAATGCCGTGCGAGTCACGCAAGATCACACCGATTTGCGACGGGGTCAACCCCTTCTTGGCGAACTTGCACACGTGGTCTTCGACGTCTTCCGCCGTCACTTTGAGCCACGAAGGAGGAGTGCGCTTGTACGGGCGAGCAGACTTGCTGATACCCTTTCCGCCGGAATGCATACGACCCATGTTGATTTACTTGGTGCTTGAACGAGGAATCCAAAAGTACCATCGCCGCCCCTCTCGTTCCTAGCACAAGCACCAGTCAGAATTCTGCCAATCACAGTGCGAGAAGTATGTCCACCAATCAAAATCCATGCTGGTTGCCAGTAGCCAATCCACGATGAGAATGGGTTTTACGTTGCGTTATAACAAGCTAGAACACGTTTTATCTGGGCAATGTGAACTTTACTGTTAGCCTCGATCAATAATGTGCATGGGGGGGACAACATGCATCCTGGCAAGAGGTTTAACGCTTACCACATAGTGTCGAGCAAGGACCTGTAGATTGAATATAGCTGCTCTGAATAGCAGTGCGAGTGTCAACAGGTGAGGATGAGTGGGGGGACTTAAGGAGGCCAATGCAGTGTATGAACTGGGGATGAAATTAGGTGCTGCTGTGTATGTACGGCTATGTAGTGAACGATACGTTTCGTTACATGTATTCGTGCTAACGCTGTCGGCATTTGCTGTTGCCGCCTCCTTGCAATCCTATGATAGGATTGTCAGTTCAAGAATCATCCATACATGCTGCGTGCCTCGCCACACCACCCCTTCACGACCAGAATGCAAATCCTGATGCTGGCTTGAAGCATGGCTTGCTTTTGCACACCCAAGACCCACTTACTCAGTCCATTGACATAATGTTATCTTTCACACGCCGTTGACTGCAGTGACCTACATACCTAGTTCACCCCCCACGCTCATGTTTGGACGCTTACACACACCGTGTCATGGAATCACCGACAACCTGGTAGTACTATACTCAACTACAAGCGTTCAAGCCCGCACTTTTCGTAGCATGCTCAGTCAATATGACTGAGGCATGCTGACCGATTCCTATCTTTCACTCGATTCGGCATGCGGAGTGTGGAGCTGCCAGGTGAATCGCCGCCGATGTTATCCGCCCAACTATTTGTTTACCCGCCCCACGCGAACTGTGGGAATGCATATTGAATTTTGCAGGGTTTGGAGCCTCCGAATTTGAATATAATATCACATGCTACAGGTTTTATCCACTTGTATACTTTAACCAAGTACTTTGTCACCCTCTTTTCTCCACCACTTCCTTGGTGACTACTCGTGTATTTCGTGACTTCAGTGACTTGACCATGCTGGCCCGCCGCATTCTTACGTCCAAGGCCAAGAGCAGCCTTGTCCCTGCCTTCACGGGTAACTCATGCGATTCCTACATGAATGGACGATCCTTCCTCGTCTGACCCGATACGTCCGTAGCGCGCTCGTTCTCGGCGCCCGCGACGACCAAGGACGACTACTCTTCCCCAGATCACTACTTTGACGACGAAGTCAAGGCCAACGCTGGGGACCCGTCCAAGCGTGCGTTCACGTACTTTGTGTTGGGGGGTTCGCGCATTGCGTACGCGACCGCCGCCCGCCTCGCGGTCATCAAATTCGTCGGCTCCATCAGTGCATCCGCCGACGTGTTGGCCTTGTCGACCGCCGAATTCAGCTTGGCCAGTATTGAACCCGGTTCCACCATCACGGTATGCTCTACCTTCCTCTCATGCAACCCTAGTTCTGACATCCCCCTCCCTCTAGGTCAAGTGGCGTGGCAAGCCCATCTTCATCAAGCACCGCACCGAAGCCGAGATCGCCAAGGCTCGTGACGTCGACCTGAGTCAACTGCGCGACCCCGAGTCCGACGAAGTGCGCGTCCAAGACCCCAAGTGGCTGGTCATCTTGGGTATCTGCACGCATTTGGGGTGCGTGCCCACGTCCAACGCCGGCGAATACGATGGCTGGTTCTGCCCGTGCCACGGCTCCCATTACGACTTGAGCGGCCGCATCCGCAAGGGCCCTGCGCCGCTCAACATGGAAATCCCGCCCTACAAATTCGTGGACGGAGACCGCGTCTTGTTGGGCTAAATGCATCTTGATTTTTCCCATAGAAGGTAGCCAGGCTGGTTGATTCTTGAATTATAATGCAAGTTGTCGGCGCGTGCAGTTTCTACTTCGAGTGCGAGCAGTGTACGAGTAGAAGGGCTTGCCTAGCCACACATGTAGTTCGGCTGCGTACAGTAGTTGGACGAGTTGTTGGCTCGTTGGTTCTTTGCACCAAAGTCCATGGTGGGATAAAAAATGTATTTTAATACATTTTTTATCCCACGTATTAAAATACCTAGTTCTACTATTTAATACTATTAATATGAATACTACCCGCAGTATTTTAATATTAATCCTATACTACGTAGTAATATAATAGTATTATAGGATCAATATTAATAGTATTAAAATACTACGGGTACTATTATTAATAGTATTACTACTACACCATTTTGCAGTTAACACAATTCATCGGGCAGATGGCAATTGGTTGGGCACACGGCTAATTATATGAGGCACACGGCCAAATATATCGGACACACGGCCAAATATATCGGGCATTCGTCCAACTTAATGTTAACTGCAAAATGGTGTACTAGTACGAGAGTCCAGTAATACAACCTTTTTGTGAACGTATTTTTGACACAATCGGAAAAATTTCATAGTAACTGTTATATTCGATATCCATAGACGACACATACGCACACTAAATCGAGTACCTCTGAGAATGAATCTGCGCACTTTTTCACTCACTCGTCCATCCATGGGAACTCGGGCTAAGGCGGCACTCCTGCGAAGTGCGCTGTGCCTCACGACAGGTATGTATGCAGTCACCATCCTCCTTACCCTCATGCCCTCTCTAGCGAAGCCGCGACCGAGCCCGACACTCTTCATGTTTCCAGGGCTCACGTCGGCACCATTCCACAACCCGCGGGACTTTGACTGGACTCGTGCGCTTGAAGCCAACGTGGATACGATTCGGACAGAGTACTTGGCTTTGAAGGCGCATCAGAAGACGTCGGACTACGACGTTCAAGGCGGCCAAGAGCACTCGCTGCACCAAGGTCAATGGGACTGGTTCAGTTATGTCACCAAGGGTAAGAAACCCAACGGCGCGTCGTTCGAAGAGCACTGTCCGACGACCGCGGCGCTGCTTACCTCCATTCCCGGCTTCATGACGTCGGTGCCGTTTGCATATGCGTTCTTCTCGAGTCTCCAGCCAGGCAGCTCGATCAAAGCGCACTCGGCCCCGTGCAACATCCGCCTCCGCTGCCATTTCCCCCTCTTTGTCCCTCCCGGGTGCGGTATCCGCGTGGCCGATCAAACTCGATCTTGGAAGGAAGGCGAGTGCTTGATCTTGGACGGTACGCGGGGGGCCACTGGAGTATTATTACTTTGAAGTGAAAGCTGGTTGTTGCGGACTTCGAGGCCAATTGATATTAATATCGATTGATATTGTCCTTTTACCGAAAATGTGGCAGACTTTTGCGCTGATTCTCGCCAGATGTATCGATTATTCTTGATACTGAATCATTTTGTATGTAAAAACGTGTGCTGTGGTGATTGGAAGTATCACACTAATTAAAATCACACACTAATTTGACGTTGTTGATGGTTGTTTCCTGCAATCTGATTGGCTAAGTATATCCTTCTACCGATGATTGTTCTGTACATTTATTTGGTTGTATCGATATATTCATTCTCTATATATTATCGATTTGATACAAATTATCGCGCCGACCAAACCGATCCACAATCGATCTGATTGGTTGTTGAATTTCATTGAGAAGGTTTTGATTGGCTAATAATTTTGAGCTCATCGGAGGTAGCCAATCAAATCGATTTAAGTGCCAACGAGAAATCTTCACTCGAAAGCACAATATCGCTCCAGTTTAGAATGAACACATCTATATCGATGTGATTGTGTACTAGATTCGTACGACCATGAAGTATGGCACGACGGCAAGAATGGGGAGCGGGTGGTGCTGCTCTTTGACGTGTGGCATCCGGATTTGATTGTGGACGAACGACAAGCCCTGATCGACGTAAGCACGAATATTATTGTACCCAAATTATTAGGACGTTGGAGTGCCATTTCGCCAAATATCCTGTGAATCCATTTGATGTCATTGAACCTTGTACAAAAACTACTGTATATATATACTAACTAGACATTTAAGATGCGTATATATCTGTTTTACGCAATAATGCGGAAGGACTGGGCCGAATCAAACGTTTGGATTGGCAGAAATTCGACATGACATGATTTGATTGGCTTTGGCGGTTCTTTTATTCATTAAGACATTCGATTCTCGTGAGATATTTCGAATCGATTTGACAATATTGGTAGATGTTTGCCGACGCTACAAACAAGGGCTGGTTAACTGACAAGTAGAGAGAGAGATGACCAAGCGTTATAACTAACTCACGAGACGATGGAACGTAATGACGTCGTCGCCCCCCCAACTTCATTTATAATGAATGCTATTCGCCGTGAAAAGGATGGCGTATGCTCCGCCATTGTGGTCGAGATTTGTTGATTTCGTCGAATTCACAAGTACTACTTCCACCGTTGCAGAAGGAAGGTTACCTTTCCGTAATAGGTCAACAGTTCACAACAAAATCTCCAAATTTACCCTAAATAGGCCATACGAGTAGCGGAATAATATCCAGGTATTTTTAGATTTTTTTTATTCACTACAGGGCTCGAGATATATGACTTCAAAACTCGTTCACCAAATCCTCAAAATTCCAAACCAAGATTCGCAACGAATCTATATTTGGAATTTCCCCTTAGTTTTCAGAAATAGCATGAGCCAATCAAAATCGATTTACCCCTTTCTTTTTTCACGATTTAGAAAAAGTCGTCAAGGACCTCTTTTTCTACTTTTGGTATAGTGAGTTGCGTAAAACATCGCACACAAAGAGGTCAAAAAGTAGGAAACTGTATTGTATATAAACTTCCAAAATTCGTGTGGTTTGTCGAATCAATATTGAATCACACCGGAGTTCTGATTGGTTGAATATACGTGTCATTTCTGCAAGAGCCAATGAAATCCACTCAAAAATGGATTAGCCAATAGCGTCGATTCGTGATTCGATTCGACGGGGTCTGGAAATTCGTATCGAATCCACAATACTTGGAACCACTTAACGTAAATGACCAATTTATGATCACTGTACCAATTTATGATCACTCGCATTGAGCCAATCACGTCGGGGTATTTTTTGACCCCAAAGCCTCCAATAGATTATACTGAATGAACTCGATACATTACACACGCTAACCATGCCGAATCATCCGGACATTCGACTTGAAAATGGGTAAGTTCCTTCCTTCCTTGCCCTGCCCCGCATATAACCTAAAATTGCTAAATGCTTACTAGTATCATGGATAGTATGGGTGCTTGTCAGGGAAATCACAGGTGTCGAAGACGACACAGACCTACCGTATTCCCCATCTAACTGTACCCAAGCATTATCGTTACCCCATACTTTCACGCGCGCAGATGCCATGGCTATGCGCTTCACAGGCAGTCCTAAAATGAAACGATTGGAACAGGTTATCCGGACCATGTGTTGGAACTGTCCCAGCAAATATTCTTGAAATACATAACCTTGTAAACTTATATATTACCTGACCATAATGCATACCCTATCCGCATAATTTGTATGCATCAAGGTATACACAGTTCAAGGTTAAAATAGTGATCATAAATTGGTCCTCAAAAATAGAGTAAACTTGCTTGGAAAGTCGGCTTTTTGTATTAAACGTGCATCTTCAAATGTAATAATTTGATTATGAAGTGAAAGCTCTGTGTTCGGTTGTTAAGAATCACTTCACAAAATGTGAAAAGTCGTCCTGTGAGCCGAGATATGCGAATTCTACGGTGACTACTCCGAAAAAGTGATCATAAATTGGTCATTTACGTCTCTTTCTGGCAAGGTCCACTAGGATTACCTCGGTGTTCTACCTGAGTCTTTTCATCGATACTCTTTCTGCCTTATTCTTTCTTTCCTTTTCTACCCCTTTCGGGGTTAGTACTTGGAACAGGCCGTTTATGATCGGGGAAGATTTAGTAAAAATAAGACGAAACATGTTTCAACACGAAATCGTCAGATCTGTATACCATGGTTCGAGGTGCTGCATAAAGTTCATCCCGGCGTCCGTCACTTCGCGGCGCATGTGCTCATCCTCGTGGCGGCGAGATTTTCACATACGGCAACGTTACCCCTCGAGACTCATCTGCCAAGAACTGTATCGCAGTAAAGACTTCGCTGAACACTGTCACATTGTAGTATACAAAAAACAAGAGCATGAATAAGGCGATGAACTTGGAGGCAAACGTGTGTGTGTCCTTTGGTCGTGAAGAGCATCAATAGATTCTCCAAGCGTCAAGTACTTGCCTACTTCAAATTCAATATGTTAACGTACGTTAACCATACTAACGTTAGTACATAGAGTTACTTCGATCTCAAGTGATGTGGTGTTGCAACTTTGCTCAAAATTGCTCGGTCGTCGGAAATTATTTGCTGGTTTGCTTGAAAATAATCTACAAGACTCTCCCACCAACAGCAAAAGTTGAAACATGCCTGACGATCTTGAACGGTCGCGTTCGAAATCCGGATAAACCAGGTATATCCGTATATTCACATTACTGGAAGGGAACTTCACCATCATGGACTCGTCCGTGGCCGACCACCTATCGCTGGAGCACATCTATGGCAACTTTCACGACTACTACGACTTCAACCCCGAGAGCGAGAGGCTTCGTTTCCTCACGTCGGACGTTCGGCATGCGCTGCGGCAACATTTTTACTCGCAACCGAATGCACAAGGGACGTTGTTGGACGTGGGTTGCAACGAAGGTAAGGAGGTCGTGCTCTGCCAACCTCAATATTCCTCGTATTGAAACGATCGCATTCTCTAGGCAAACTGACCATGGGGCTCTTCGATGCACTCACACGTCACGCCACGTCGTCGTCGCCACACGACGCATCACCGTTCACCACCGACAGCCTTTCCCAGCTCAACGACGTGCTCCAACCCCATCAACTCCGACCCGAATACATCACGATCGCCGACACTGGCACAGCCCATCGACCCCAGTTTGTCCTCCACGTGTACATATACGGCGTTTTCTTTGGTCAAGGCAGCGGCGTGTCCAAGAAAGTCGCGCGAGCCAAAGCCGCCAGTGTGGCAATGGTCCACTGGCGCCGCATTCACCACAATATCTCACCCACATCCCCTACCAATTCGTCCGAACTGGTACATGCCGCCAACCCAACCATCCCTTGCAACGACGATAATACCCCCATGGAGCTAAAGGTTCTCGGTATTGACATCGACAACGTGTTGATTGACAAGGCCAAGAGCCGATGGCCCAACCATCCACATGTCTCGTTTATGACGGGCGACATTATGACTCCGAGCGACGCCCGGGCCATGTCGTCCATGTTGACATCGAGACCTCGCTTTGACGTCGTCACGTGTTTCAGTGTCACAATGTGGATTCATTTGAACCACGGAGATGCAGGCCTGAGTACATTCTTGGACACGATTAGCAACATAGCCACGCATTTGATCGTGGAGCCCCAGCCGTGGAAATGCTACCGCACGGCCATAGCGCGTCTGAAGCGAATGCACATCCAAAGCCCGTTTGGATTGCAAGCGCTGACGTTTACGCACGAGCATGTGACGACGTTCATCGACTCCAAGTTGTCCGAGTGGTTTCCGTTCCGAAAGTTGATGGGGAAGACAAACTGGAGTCGACACGTGTGGCTGTACAGCCGCGTGCCGCTCCCCGGAGTTGTCTACGACGTACGAAAAGGGAAGTGTGACGTTGTGTCCTCATAGCATGTATATATATATAATATAAAATATATATACATACATAAGGTTATGAGTTAAAATGTGTTGCCAACCGAAAATCAATCAAATCACGCGGTGGTTAACCGTGATCCTAGCCGAAAACTCCTTATAGAGTTTTCGGTCAGCACCTTCGAGACAAATAGAGCTTTTGGACAACACTTTGTCCTTCAAATACAAAGTAACGTTATACCACCAACGTTCGTACTGCTGCAAAATGCATGGCTTCACGATATATATATATATATATATATATATATATATATATATAATACCATGTACTAATAGTATATGTCCGTTTGCCTGTGAGTGCAAATAACAATCCTCAAAAAGATACTTCGAAGTATTTATTTTCACCAAGTCGAAAACGAATCTATTTTTGCGTCTTCCACATACTACAGGTAATACTTCGAAGTACTAGTTAGTAGACATTACGTATCTTTCGTGACCGAATAATTATCCTTTTTGCTCGTGGTGGTCTTGTACGTTAGAGGAGCTGCAACTCCACTGATGTAGTCCCCCGGGTGTACCCTGTTGAGCGTCTGAAAGCATCAAGGAACATGCAGCATTCGGCGTCAAAGGCCATAAGCACACCAGCGAGTTCCGACCTGTGTTTTACACGCATGGTTGGTCCACTCCAACATCAGTGTCGTAAACCGGTCGAAACCTGGCGACACAACCATCACTGTGTCGACTGGCCCAGGATAGTTAGCTTATGCAGAGCGAGAGCTATCAAACGTCAAAAGTCAGGTGAAAACACCAACTTGGGAATTTATTTCTCAGTCCAAAATCCAACTTGTGCAAGCGATTTTTCGCCATAGTTAACGAACTCTAACTGCAGAAAGAGCGTGTTGTGTCAAAATTTGGAGGCGCAAATGTTATAACAACTCTGAGGACTGGAGCATCCACGAAGTTGTTAAAAACCAATAGAAGTATCATAACGTTAGGTGGGCGAGTGACCACATGAATATGTTTTAATCTAGATCTCGAATGTCTTAAGATAATGGATTAAAGAACCTCCTAAGCCAATCAAACCACGTTCTGGTTAGTTTCTGCCAATCCAAACGTTTGACTCGACCCAGTCATTGGGCAAAACCATATATATATATATACTAATAGTTGTATAGTATAGTTTGTACAAGCTTAAATTGGATTCGAATACAAGTTCAACTTTGGGTGAAATTACATCATCTTATTAATAATAACCTGAACAAGGAATAAATACTAAGGTAATCCATCAATATCGCGAACGCCATCAATATCGCGAACGGTTTTCATTATATCCAATCCAATGGCTTCATTCTGTAATGACGAGTTTTCATTGGATATGATTATATTCAGCCAAAGGATCAGGATACCACCTTGAAGTTCAAAACTATGTTCATTTTTATGTTGTCGAATACAAATTTCAATTTGTATCTTATTATAATGCCTTCAAATTTAATGTAGAATTGAGTTCATGTATAAATTAAAACGCGTCACGACACCCAGGTATATTATTTTGTAAATTAATATTCCATACATACAAAACTAAGATATTACGACCGTTCGCGAAATACAAAGCCAAAAAAGTTTCACCAATTCTTAACGTTACGTTATAATTTGAAAATACAAATCGATTATTGGGATATTTCAGGCACTTCTTAGCACTAAAAAATGCAGCTGGATTTATATTTTCCAACGCTACCTTTAGTTTTTTTTTATTCGAGGGACTTTTTGTGGTGGAGTGCTTCAAACATTTGATATTTTAGTGCACAAAATGCGTTCGCGATATTGATGGATTACCTTAGTGCATCGATTAACTAGACGGCACCTAATTCCTGGACGACTCACTCAAGGGCGGGTCCAACGCAAAAGGCCGAAGCGTCGTGTTGCGGAACTGGACGAACGCCGCCGCCGCGTTCTTGGACATGTTGTATGGCGCCTTGTACCCGACATGCGCTTGGGCCATGTCGACGGCGCCGCGGAATTGGCGGGTCTGTTCCTCTGTTGAAGACGGGAAGTTACACGACTCAACATCGAACAAGGTCGTGTCGACGTTGCAAGGGACGTGCTGCCGCATGGCTGACATCAATTGCGCAAAGAAGGCCGCGCATGCTTCCGATCGGTTGAATGCGTGCCTTTGGCGCGCATCAACGGCTGTTCGTACAATATGGAAAACACGCTCAACCGGGACGCTTGCATGCACTGGCTGGTACTGTACATGGGAAAACGTCCACTTCCATGGCAATGCGCGTTGTGTCACAGTCGGGAACGCCATCCCCGCGCCCCTTGCCTCGGTGGGCGACCGCGCCGTAGCAATCGGGGAAGAGAAACCGACATACGTCCCCTGACTGTACGTCGTCGCTGGGGACTTGGCAGATCTTGGGAAGCACTTTGCATGTGTACAGCGAATCGTCTACGACGAGGATGGGGAAGATGGTGCGCTGCCGAGCGGAGGAAAGGATGGCGACTGCTGCTGCCTGCTGATGTTGCACTTGTGTGCGGTTGTGCACTAACGCCGGTGGCCTAGTCGTTGGTCCAAGGGTGCTTCTTGACGGCGTAGAGGTTGTCGTCACGAGATTGTGATTCAAACGAGTGTGGACATTGGGCATATGGACAGCCGCCACCAGAGCTGCCGTTACAGCGAGCACTATCGTCGGCGTCCGTCGCATGCTCTCTGTGTCAAGCGCGCACGTCTACCCATGGCACAACATAAATAAAAATGAAAATAAAATACGAAATGTAAAAGTTTGTATGCGAATTGGATGCCGCTTTATTTTAAACTCCACTTTCAATTGTAAGAGACGTTGTTCGGATACAACATGATTATCCGGATAATTGTTCGTATCTGATATGATGAAGGTGATTTCCGGATATCGACACCAACTTGGCGTCGGCATGGTGGACCTGAAAGCCGTGTCTTTCGTGCTGCTGGTGCTTCAGAACACACTGGGCACAATCGTGATCAAGTACTCCCGCGCCACCAAGTACCATGGCACGACCACGGTGCTGCTTTACGAGCTGCTCAAGCTGGTTCTCTGCCTAGTGGTCGTCGTCGTGCAGAAGCAGGGCAACCTACGTCATGCCGTTCAAAGCGTCCGTCTCGAGGTGTTGGGGGACACCCAAGGGTACCTCAAGATGGTACTCTTGGCGGCACTGTACAGTTTCCAGAACAACGTCCAGCTGCTCGCGCTGGATCACGTGAGCGCCGCCACGTATGCCATCGTCTACCAGCTGAAGATCGTCACCACAGCGTTCTTCATGGTGCTGTTCCTCAAGCGATCGTTCCATACAGTGCAGTGGGTGGCCATGGTCGTTCTCATGGTAGGCGTCGTGGTGTGCTCCGTCGGCAACAGCACTCCCGCACCCGACAAAGCGTCCACGTCCGCCGTCGGCATCTTCATGGTCGTCGGGCTGGCCGTCAACTCGGGGGTAGCCGCGGCCTACTTTGAAAAGGTGCTCAAGACGCACAAACCCGCTGACGCCATCCTTCGCAACCGCGTCCCTGATGTCGATCCCATGTGGAAAACCAACATCCAGCTCGCCAGCGTGTCGGTTCTGGTGGCCTGTGTAGGGGTAGTGCACACTGCGACTACAACCCGTGGCTTTGCCTTCTTCGATGAGTACACCAAGTTCACGTGGGGAGTTGTGTGGCTCCAAGCGTGCGGCGGCCTGATTGTGTCGGCCGTGGTGCGGTACTCGGACAACGTGGTCAAGAACTTTGGCACGGCAATTTCCCTCGTGTTGGGCTGCGTGCTATCGAATTTGCTGTTTGATGACCAGCTATCGCCCATGTTTTTTGTGGGCGTGACGCTGGTCGTGCTGTCCGTGTATGTCTACGGAGACTCCCGACTCCACGGACCTGCCGTGCATGTGAAAGTAGAGCCTCGAGACCTCGAAGGCGCAAGTTCCAAGGACAAGGGCGGCGGTGGTGGAGGGGGGGACCTACCACAAGCAGTTGTGTTGAATCAACGCGCGATGTATCGGGTAGATGAACCACCACCCATCAAGTAATCTTAGCATTAGTGTGTTTATACAAAACATGGTGTGCTGAACAACTAAATGTACAGAAGAAGCGGCAGTAGAATTTAGTTAATCAGATACCAATCAACAGCTAATTAGTGTGGGACTTAAAACTAGTCCTCTGGCATTTTATTAACGTTACATACAAAATTCAGAACAAAGAATCGATGGAATTGGCAAATCAGCACAAAAGTCCAATTTTGGTGTGATGTTCAGGAATATCGACATTTGGAATATGGACATGGGGTGGCTGGTGAAGCGAGCATGAACGTGATGTAACTACTAACGTTAGTTGATGTACATATACATAATTCGTAAGGTGAAACAGTAGGTTTTAGTACGAATTCCATAAATCGATCTGAAATATGTAAAATTTTATTGAATGAAGCTTCATCTTTGTATGGAATAATTTAAATTACTTTACAGTTAAACGCATCTCATTGATGAATTCGTAAGGCAGACTGCCTTACCAAATTTCTGTCCAATTAAATAATAGAAAAGTGAAGATAACTGGCCAATCGGATCGTTCTATTCTCTTTGCTACTAACGTTGTACTAACGTTAGTACAATGCTTGCTGCAGGCTGCGGCTATTTGGTTGTGAGCTACAGTACTGTAGTAGAATGCGATCCCTTGCTCCTACGCGCACGCTTCAGCCTGGGAGATGGTCATGCAGTACGACTTGGCCCGAGTAGTTGACAAGCTTGTCCCATGTGATTACTTGATTTATGCCAAGTTGCAAAACTAGTAGGATGTCTTCACTTTTTACACTAAGTTAGTACTGCTGTTACGATGCGCTCCCAGACATGACGCCACACCCAATAGGTGGTTCAAATCATTTTAATCCGTTCCTACACCAGAGCGCCCACAACGGGAAGGATGTCCACCGAGATTAACACTCGACACATCCTCAGATCCAGCCCAATGTGGCCTGTGTCGACTAGAGTACTTCAAACCCAATCTTGAATGACTGTTACCAATGGTTTCTACGCCGTTTTTGCATTTCATTCACGTGACGGAATTATCAACATTATATGACAGAGGTTTTGACTAGAACAAATAACGAGGTGTGATTGGGCAATAACGTTACAAAGTTATCCTAAATTGGTTAACTGTAAGTTATCTTAAACTGGTTTTTTACGTTATACTCCTCGATTCCAAAACCTCTTTAATTGCATAATACATAGATATATAGAAAGGTTCTAGGCGATCTTCTCTCTTTCGAGAAGGCAAAATCCTACTGACGGTACCAAGCAACCGCGGATGTCACCACCACCGATATATTCAAGGCAGCTAACCACATCGCACTCCCCTACAGAGAATTCGCATGCGGGTTTCCCTATTACCCCGAGCACACACATGACGCAGTTGTGCTACCTCGTGTATCATCTACAGTACATATGTTAGTAGACTTAGCTTACCTATTTTACGCGTTAAAATCTTGTTCTTAGCGACGTTAGCAATATGTTTCCATAAAACCCGAGACTATATTAGACACAGCGGTGTAAAAACGGTTGGCGTAGTACGCATGCTGTCGTGTTGCCGTCACTCTCGATTGTTGCTGTGTGACCTTTCACGTTCCCAAATGTCATTGGGATAAACTGCATGATTGGCTAAAATTCGTTTTTTATGACGAATCAAAACATGGCGTCGATTTGTTGGCGGTTCAAATAATGAGCCAACCCAACGAGAAAACAACTGAAGTTACTCTGTGCTGCTCCGGAGTACTACGTAGTATATTAGAGACTTTTAGCACGACCGGAATTTATAGGATGCATTTGTCCCAAATGTTGTGTTCTACTGTAGTAACAGTTAATACAATATACTAGTACAGTACATTTGGTGTAGCCAATAAGAGTCAAGAGACAAATATATTTAGCCAATCATCAAGTATTTTATGTACTTAAGCTGATTAGTTCAAGGTGGGTGAGCCTACTTTGTACTTTGGCTGATTAGTTCAAGGTGGGTGAGCCTACTTTACATAAGCTGTAAGTGGTCGTTGTTTTGGCATCTGTGAACGAATCGCCTCGTCGATTTTTCTCGAGGATTTATACGAACGCCCTCTATGATACCCAATCGGTTTTCTTAGTTTGGCCCAGGGATCTCCGTGATAGACCAGATTTCCCCAAATGTACACTAACGTTATTTCTTTTCGATAGAACTGCAAAGCACGCAGTATACTATCGAAAACAAATACTGTTGAATAATGTTAATAGAGATTATGTCCACCTTAAATAGTGTACTACTACGTATTAATACTACTACGTCGTACTATTAATATTAATTACTTGAAAGAATAATTACTTCGAAGTAGTACAATACAGATATCTGGGGGTTGTATGAATATCGGACCCCGTTCAATCGATCCCATTGGTCATTCCGAAAGTACTTGTCGCTTATTGGCTATGCAATACATTATCGGACAGGGCAAAGGGTAGAACCAGTAACGTTATTAGTTAATAGACGTCTCTGCGGTTTGTATATTGAAAGGGACTATCGACAAAAAACGTTATATTACACTATTTCAATTATTTTCACTGTGAAACACGCGGAAACTAGTGTGAAGTTACACTATTTCGAACGGACAAAGATATCTGGGGGTTGCACTTGAAATCTTGTCGAGATGGCATCTTCGCGCCAGCACAAGCCGTTCGAGTCGTCGGGGTCGTCGTCGGTGATGAATGGAAAGTCTCCGTACTACAAGAAGAAGGAATTCAACCGACAGGACAGCGGCGTGGCGCCTGCGTCCCAGAAGAGTCGGCGGGATGCGGCGCAAACGAAGCTGCTTGCGTCCGTGGGCTTGGATCTATTTCGGACGGGGCTCATCGTAGACAACACAAAGCCGTTGCACACCGAAGCGCGACATCCTGCCGTTGCTCCAAATTTGGTGTCGATCCCGGAAGGCGAGCAAATGGCGCTGCGCACCCAGCTCTCGCACGCTATCGTGTTGCTGAATGGCCCGGTGTCGGCCAACCTCCCAGGCGTGTGGCTCAGCCAACGCATTGACACCGCACTGCCTCTGCACCGCGCCATCACCGAGCAGGAGAAAGCCACGTGTTATATCATTCCATTTGGCGGCGACAACAGCGAACAGAGCACGCTCGAGGCCGAGGTCGCGCGCAACCAGCTCGTTCAACATGGCATATCCCCGCACCACATCGTCATGGACTGCAATTCGGTACGCACTGTATCGCATGATTCTATTGTCGTTGCTAAACAACGTCCAGAGCAACACGATCGCCAACGCCGTGTCCCTTGTCCGGGTGCTGCGGCACCTTCACTTGACCGTCGTGCGCGTCGTCGCGTCGTCCTTCCATGTCGCGCGCCTCCAGCATTACTTAGACCGCATCCTTGGTGCGTGCCATGACATGCGATTTCAAGTGTTTTACCACCCCACGCCCCAAGACCACTTGAGTCGCCAGCAACTTGCGGACAAAGCGGTACGATGTTTCAAGTATCTATTTTTCATATAGGCTGCCACAAAAAATGTCACAAAACACCTTATTTTTGCAACTTTTCAGAAATATGTTGACAAATACCAAATCTGACTTATATATGGACATCATACGTCGAATTTTCACTATATTTGGACAGAAAAACGTTTCAACTGCAACTGTCCAATTTATAGTACCTACCTACCTACTACATGATATTCATAGTTTACATTACATCATGACATCCATAGGTCGCATCAAAATATTTTGAGAATATTTTCTCACCTCCCATTTGAAAAGGGCGGACTGCTCATTTATATTGTCGTTTTACCCAACATTTTTGACTTTTGTGCGGATTCTTTGCCAAAAATCTATCGATCGATTCTTTGATACTGACTTTTTTTTTGCATGGAAAAATGGTCAAGTCACACAACACTAATTCGTGGTTGATTTGGTCGAAGAGTGGATATCATTTGATTGGCTGCTTGAATAGTGATCTGGGTTTTGATTGGCCGATCATCGATTGCGTGCCGATTTGGTTATTCTGGTCATTCGACTGGGCACCACCCAAACCCTCCAATTCGAATAATTGACTTGACAATACTCGTGTCTGCTGTAGGCGCATGAACAAGCACTGATCATCCGCACGCAACAAGCCCTCGAGGACGCCGTGAGAGCCGTCGCGCGATTCGAATCCCAGCACCCGTCGCTGCCCCCGCCAGGGCCCACCACCAGACAGCAGTTTTACACTTAACCCTGTGATGAACTCGATGTTCTTGGACGTTAGTGATTCTGTACTAGTGCTACAATAGTTCTAGATTGGTCTCTAATGGCGGCGTTTAGAGTCTAATCTAAAATCAATAGTGAATACTCGCAATAGTAGTATTGTGTATATTCGGAACACATTTCCCTGTCGAATCGAATCTCGCCGCCGAATCGAATCACGAATCGATGCTATTTGCTACAGTAATCGAATTTTGAGTGGATTTGATTGGGTCTTGCAGTAAGGACAAGTATATTCAACCAATCAGACACACTCCAGGGTGTCTCAGTATTGATTACTACTGGTAGACAAACCACGCGAATTTTGGAAGTTTATAGCGAATCAACAATACGTAACGTTAGTACAAACAAAATTGACGAGGGTTTCTTCTCACGGAATACGACTGAAAACACACAATATATTCGGTTTTCGGTGTAGAGCATCTCCATCGCACCTCTAAATTTTGTGTTTTGCGTGTGTTTTATAGGTGGTATAACCCACTTGTACAACTGTGTAAAACTGGTCTTTATAATGAGACCTCGAATTTATGTGTAGATAAAATGGCAAACGCGACAAATCCAACCGACAATGATCTGATTGGTCAATTCTACAAAAAGAAATATTGATTACAAACCTTATCCAAGAAGTAGAGGGGATACCCCCTCTACTTACATTGGTCCGCCAGGTTTCCCTATTGGGCATGAATCCTAGACAACTAAGGGTACCGGTCATTGCAATACGTCCCCAGTTCAATCCCCTGAAAGACCAACTATTATTTGAATGAATTTCAAATTATGTTCTCGTTTCGTCTTTCGCACTTCTTTCAACAAGCTAGAATAGTTACCCGTATAACGTGACGGATCTGTGATTTGCCGATTTTGAGCTCCATTCAATCGACCATATCTAGCGAAGTTCAAATTATCTCGACGTAAAAGTTGCAGTCCCAAACTCACTTTTTTTAGCTCTATAGCATCGTCCGAATACAAATCCAGAGTAAGAGTGTGAATCAGGGCAAATAAAATGTCAAAGTTAGGCGCTCAAACAGGCGATCGGTGATTTGCCGAAATTTAACCTTGAATTCAGTATTGGAATTTTACGGCTTCGTTCAAACAAAATTATTGATTTATAGAGCAATATTATATGTATGAAGAAATAATATTTTACAGGTCATACTTGATTTGAAAACAGGTGATAACCTCTTTAAAATAGTACTGAACCCATCATAACGTTTTGAAGGTGTCAGTTGTTGCAGGCTTTTATTTTATCCAATCATATCAATTCTTGAATTCTATTGGGTAGTGCAGCTCGGCAAATCACCGATCTTTCGGCAAATCACAGATCCGTCACGTTAACCAACAAACGCAGCTTCAAATAGATCAAAACTCTGGAACTTTGAGAAGGCAGCACCCAAAGTCTGCCTTTCCGAATACTTTCGCCGATCGCACTTGATCATGTCCTTTGTAAAGTCCTTGATCGCGCAAAACAAACCGCTCTTGGGGCAGGCAGTAAACCATTGATCCCAAGCGTCTCTTCCAGATCGTGCCGTTGGAATGCTCTTGGTCACCACGCACTCACGAAGTGACAGTTGTCGCTGTCGAGCAGGTGGCAGCAAAAGGTTTCGGCTGCTCAATGCCCATGCCTTTCTTCACAGCCTCCACAATGCTGTCAAACGTCAGCCCACTAGTGCCAATAGCGGCATGCACGACACCATGTCCAGTACTATTCACCTTCCGTAACAGGTTTCGTGGGTCAAATCGCTGATGCTCCTTGTCACCAAGTATTCACAGCACGTCTTCGCGTCGGTCCAACGGCACAATGCCATTAACTCTCGGAAGTTGAACTTCCGCTCTGGGGACTCAAACACTCTGTAAAAACAGCCACCTCTCCGCATGCTGTGTAATGATATTCCAATCGGGAGGCTTGGTGACGCATGAACCAAGTTTTGGAGAAGGCGTCGGACGTAGTTTTGATCCAGAGGCTTGAACCACTCCACACGAACACTGTCATACTGGTTGGACAAAGATGGGAACACGCACGCCTCTTGAGACACGTTGACCTGCGCCTGGCGAATTTTGTCGAGGTAGCCTTCATACAGCGTGCAAATTCGGAGACATGGGTAAGCTGCTTCGTCGACCAAGTGGTTTACTTGACACTCCTTTTCCACACTTGCTTTTTTGTGCCATCGCAGCCTGATCGACACGTATCGACCAGATTCATCCTGGTGCAAGGCGACATCATGCCACTTCAACGCCAGGACTTCCCCAATTCAGAAATAGCCAATAAAACAGGAGTACAGCAGAAGCTGGAACATGGAAGCAACCAAAGGATTGTGGTTGGCAAACAAGTTGATCAATGTGGGCAGCTCGTGGACAGTCAATGGGTGCGCCTTTTTCTCGTCGTCGACGTTGTTCTGCCGGTTGTACTTCTGTAACCCAATGACATAGCGCTTCGCATGCATGTCCTGTGCTGGGTTTGGGGAGATGCAGCTCTCTTTGAAGAACAATACCAGCGCAGTTTTTGCCGAGTTAACAGTGCGGGCTTTTCTTCCCAGGCTGTATAAATGATGCAGGAAGTCCGTGCAGTCCTCCGGCGTGGCAGCGTTGGGGTTCAGGCCGTTCTTGTGGTGCGCACAGGACGCCTCGAACTGGAGCTGGTACGTGAGTATGTCCTCCGGGTGAACGCACCATGCAAAGAGTCTTGAATGGTCTGCTTCGTCGGTGTTCTCTCCATCTTTTTGGAATCTGAACAGGTCAGTTGAAACGACAGGTAAAACGAAATTTGACCAATCATGGCATGTACAGTACATGTTAAATGTTAACGATATGTATCTGCACCGACAAATTGCTCGTCTAATGGTAGCACGACAAGATCTAGGGACCAATAATATTAGTTGGTATTGTCGGTTGTCCAATCATCGCACCAAAAATTGTCGGTTTAGTGTCGCGTCTGAAGTATATGTGTATCTTAGGGTACATATGTATTTTCGACCAATTTGGAGGGACCGTCACCTCTCCTGGATATTTCTGGATAACTTACAAATGCTTATAGTTAACCCGCTTGGATGGACGAGATTTCCCAATGAGAAATATTCTCATTGGCAGGATTAGCCAATTAAATCATATTATTTGGATTGAGTTCAGAGCAAAATAGCCAATCATGAAAAGGTAACCCAAATACCGCCATTCTATTGGCTCTGCCAATGAGAATATTTCTCATCGGGACAATGGGTGGAATATTAATAGCGCTTCTGAGTACACCGGTATTAATACGCTTAGGTTGAACTTGCGCATGAGAAATATTCTCATCGGCCGCATTACATAGTTTAACCGAGATATTTCTTATGTATACTTGACTTGCACTTTGATTCCCATCCGAGCGGGTTAAATTCCTTCAAATTTGGGCATTTATTTTACCGGTAGTGTTTTCCCCGAATATAACTAAACATCCCAAAACTGCGGTGGAGTTGCTCTATTTCACAACAATCTCCAAGTTTTAGAGGTTCAAAAGTTGTCATATACAGTACTTCCTCTGTTTCATGTTGCTGCCACCACTGGAAAATCAGCTTTTTTCATGTTACTGCCACTATTATATAATGATTGGCTAATGAAAAAAATGATTGCATTTTATTGGTTATAATTGGCTCAGCATCATTTATGGACTCTGCGTCGTGCTCACGACGGCCACGAATCCATCGGGCCTCCAAGCGGTTTTGACCCAACACGTCTGGTTTTGGTGCTTTGTTGCCAATGGATTCTTCCTCCAGTTTTTGATTCCATTTTTTCGTGATATTGAGCATTAAATTTGGACAAGAAATGAATTGTTGGGGTCGCTGGCAGTCCTTGAGGAAGTAGTAACATAATTGTAGATTCGACACGAATTTCCAAACCCGTTCAATCCCGTTCAATCGTGTTTTCCTCGTTCTGAACATTGCCGCGATATTTGATTGGTTAATCTATTTCTGGAATCTGATTGGCTAAAAAAATGTTCTGTTTTCCATGTCCTTTCAAAGGATTATTTTCTAGCCAATCAAATGTCGCGGCGAGGTTTCAGCGGGGAATTTTGAAGGAAATTCACAACAACTATTACTTCGAAGTACGTATTACAGTATAATAGTACAGCATACATCCTCTGTTCCATATTACTGCGGACATACCAGTAAGCGAAATGCATTTGTTACGTATTAGTGTGGACAATAATACTGTACTTGTGTATGATTGGCTACTAGGTAGTATTCTGAAAAATACAATGTTATCATTGGCTGACAAATTTTCACTGTCACATGCTGGCTTTGGCCACAGGGAACACGCGCACTCGCGCTTCATAGTCCTTTCACGGTGAAGTGCCCCGAGAAATGAAGCGCGGTTGGTGAGGTTCATTGTATATAATTCCAATGTGTCATTCGGTCCTACTTGTCAGCTTCAAGCGATGATACCTCTTATTTTGAATTACCTTTTGAACACAGTTGAGCACATCAAATTTGGTCACGATATGTGTTTCTGGGGTCACTGTAAAGGCCAATGTCCGAGTAATACTCGGAGTAATGCAACTGAGAAAGCGTAATTATTAAGAGATGGTTGACGGGAGACTTGAGTATAGAACTACACTTCTTGGTCGACCTTGACGTTACCGGTACCACGACATTTAGAACCATAACGTGATTTAGTAGGGAGCAAAAGCATCAACCGTCCGTGTATAAATAAGTAAACTTCGTCGTCAGACGGTGACGACGTCACATTCGATGACACTAAAGCACTCGACCACCACGTCCAACAAGTCGGTCGAGAAGTACGCTGGTGTGTGGTCGAACGCGATCGGTTGCAACAGATCGTCCATCAGCACAGTCTTGGCGTCCTTCCCATCCTCAGGATCGACCTTCCTGCTTTCATCCCGTCGTCTGTCCTTTTGATTCTCCTTGGCATGTCGGCTGCACATGCCATTGCTGCGGGAGTTCGATATGCACCCCATCGCTTTACACTGGGACCCGCCGCCGTGCCGCACGCATTTGTACCGAGCATGGGCTTGCTTGGTGCATCCATCCACCATGCACAGCTTCTTGGTCGCAGGAGTGGCATGTTTTGAGCAGAGGTTGCCGACGCGGGCGTTGGCGCTGCAGCCGGGCGCGACGCACGCCCGCTTGCCCCCATGCCGGACACACAAGTTCCGGGCGTACACTTGGTTGTGGCAGTCGGAAACAAGGCAGCGGGACCGGTGTTTGTGGAACGCGCACTTCCACGACGAGCTGTCGTTCGTGTCTGTGTCGAGGTGGCAGTCGTTGAAGAAGCACGAGACCATGGCAAAGTTAAGAATGGAATCGCTCGCTTGCATTTAATGCCTCTTGTCATCTTGACATATGAACGGATGGACACATGGCTTGGCTCAGAGCCAGAGCGTGACACCCTACAACTACGTGCCACGAGTGGCCACGTGTTTCGTCTGGGTGACTGAAGATATATGTGTAGGACGCGTGAAGTCCGTTCTAACGTTACCAGAATGTTCGGTCGACAATATGGGTTACGTTGTTTTAAGCTGAAGTTCTGTCGACCAAGGTGCCCCACCAAAATGGCCGATATTGGACTTCAAAACAGTTGACCTTGGTATTTAGCTAGGGTATAGGGGTCCGCCGAAGTCCACCTCGGTTCACACTCCAATATTTTTGAGAAATAGTGGTCCGCCGAAGTCCACCTCGGTGCACACACCATTATTGTTGAGAAAATCGTCTATGTTATTGGTGGAAAAGCCTGATAATAAATATATCATGAATAATCTCTACTGTGATTGACTGGAATCTTGGTCATACAGTACATAGTACAGTGTAGTCGTGTAGACAGTGAATTGCAAAATGGCTACAGTAGAGTTTCCGTAAGCTTACTTGATTCGAAATATTTTCTGTAGCCAATAGAAAATTTACTTGTCTCTGATTGGCTCATCGTAGGTATCAAACCTACCCATCGCGCCAGATGTATGGTGACTCACGCCGTCATCATTCCATCAAGTGATCAATACAGGTTCCAAAAACGCACGAACTATGATGGCGTGTACTGTACAGTACTAGTACTAGGAGTAACTAACAATACTTACTAGTAGTACGCTGGGAGTAAGTTCTTCAAGTACTGAACTACGTAGCCTAAGTGCATTACTAGTATTCTGTTTATAGCGTTAGCGGGACAAAATCACAATTCAATTGTGTGTTCAGATTTGACGCGTTGTACCCATCTGAATGGAATGGTAACCAAATTACAGAATAAACCAATCGAGATACGAAGCTTCAATTCATGGTGGATAAAAAGAAACAATACGGTAGTAAGCTTACGCAGCTATAAGGGGCTGGTCTGTGAAAAACCATCCACGCTTTAAGGCAGGGAGGTTATCCGAACTATTTTCGAGGATTCTGAAAATATATCAAAAATATTTCTTAATTTCTATCGAAAACGTGCAAAAGCAGGAACGGACACTCAAAAGCAGGGATGAATCATCCCTGCTTCAACTCAGGCGTCCCTGCTTTTGACGTTGTGTTATCCGGAAAAATTCACGTTTTAGCCAATCAGGAGTCGTATTTGCGTGGATACTTCAAAAAGCGTGGACGGGAATGTTCGCAGACCAGCCCCTAAAGAGTTCTTGGGTGTAAACTCTGGAAGCCAGCAAGCATCATCGGGAGGGAAAATAGCTCAGTGATAGAGCATCGGTTTCTTAACTCAAAGGTTGTGGGTTCGATCCCCGCAGACGAGGACCGAATTTCGAAGAAGCTCGGTCGAAACACGAGGTACTACGTAAGTACTTAGTACTCCGGAGTACTAGTAACGTTATGAAGCGTTGGGCGAAGTAAACACCGAAGATGCAGGCACGTTGGCGAAGTGGTTCCATAACATGTGGGTCTAGTATCGGCCCTCGCAGAGGAATGTCTTAAAAATGATCATCCAAACGCAATTACAACCAGCAAGCAGTACAATTCCCTCATTAAAACGGTTCCACTGTTGTTTTGACCCGAAATACTGTTTCAATGAGATTTATATGGAACTTTGTATGCTCAGACCACCTCACCTCTTACTAGGGTTAAGTGCATCTCAGTGGTTATCGATAGCTAACCACTAGCGATGCAGTTAACCCCGGAGATTTAGCATCGTATGTACTCACCGGGGGTAGGACGGAGTCCCAGGTTACAGGGCTACTGGCGAAAAGGTGTATCCGGATGTAATAATTCCCTCATTGAAACAGTATTTCAGGTCAAAACAACAGTGGAACTGTTTTAATGAGGGATTTATTCCCAGCAAGCATCATCGTAACGTTAGTAGCATCCACTTTGCAGTTAGTCGCAGTATACTGTAGTCGTCCCACATTATTCTGTGTTCCGCCACATAATGGCTCTCATTATGCGCGCCAAGCTCTGTCGGGTAATCGCCAATATGTGAAACCTTCGGCAAAATGTGAGCGCACTTAACAAAGACTATCGCACTTAACAAATATAAATCAAACATTTGACACTGTTAACTTACTACGTGTACATGTTAGTTACCTTGAGAATGACAACTTGTGGACTGGGGTGTGGATTTCAGCCTACGCCGCAAACTGGCAAGGCTTCACTGAGGACGACTGGTGTCATGAAGTACACGGTGTCCACCAGGCTTCCATTAGATTGCCTTGTGGCTGAATCGTTGTTACTCATGCGCTGCGTCGTGTAGAATGGCAGCAAGGCTATGCCCCTACCGTCTATTTGGACCAGCTATTATCATCGTCAACAAACTCACCAACATGATTTGGTCTATGACTCTATTGGGACAGGAAAAATCCATCCTCACAAGTCTTTATTAATCGTGACGTGTTTGTAACAACGCCCCATGTTAGGACGAACTCACAATACTACCTCCGGACGGAAATAGATCTAAAGTGGTGGAAATAATGATATGACAGGTAGGTTTTCTTTTCGTAAGTGGTCGCAAATGGCATTTGTGCTTGCGAGGAGAATACACGCAGCAATGGACACTAGATTGGAGACATAATCAAGTGATTGTAGGCAAAAAATAACGTTAACCTCAATGCTACACCAATTGGAAAAAAAATGGCAAAGAAATAATTATATGACAACTATGAAAATTCCCATGTTTAGTACTTAATTTTGCGACCTCGACTATCAAGGACCAATTCGCATCGCTTTGGCATTCCCCCAACGAGCTTCTGAAGCAACGAAATGTCAATTTCGTCCCATACTTGACGAACGCAAGCAATAAGGTCCGCCTTCGAAGAAAACTTGCGACTTC